CGGTCAATCCCACTATTCGTTGGTAAAAGAGTAGCCCAAGAGTTGGCGGTGGGTGGTGATGACTAGCTGCCTTCCCTCTAGTCTTACACTGCTAAATTAGGGACGGCTAGCGCAGATAGCCCTCGTGTAGCTTTGGGCGAAATTCCAAAACAAACAAACTAATAAATACACTTTCAGTGACATGTCTGTTTCAGACAGTAGATAAAAAATGTGATTAAACTTTACACTAGGCTATAGCAACTAAAAAATTAACGTTGAATGGCACGTTTCTGTTATCCAAGAGCTTAAATCCTTGTTCAGACTATTGTCACTCAGGAATACACGTTCAGTTACATATATGTTTGAGACAGTAGATTAAAAAAAGTGAAGAAACCTTATATAAGACTATAGCCACTGATAAATTAACGTTAAGGGACAAGTTTCAGATATCCAAGAGACGAAATCCTCTGTCAGACTATTGTCATCAGACGTACATTTTCAGTTACAGGTATGTTTGAGACAGTAGATAAGAATGTGACGATACCTTATATTAGGCTATAACCACTAAGAAATTAACATCGAGTGACATATCTAAAACATTCAAGAGACATAATTCTCAGTCAGGTTTCTTACAGGGGTAACTTGTATGTTAACAATGTAAACTTCAATACATTAAAAAATTTTCCAACTTCGTTCATCGTATTTTATATCGGGAAAATATTTTGTTGTTTACTAAATGTTTTCATTACTTGACAAGATAAACCAGGTATAAACGACAGTACAAGACCTTCTTTCTTACTTTTTTCAGCAAGTGGTTTTAACTTAATATTTTTATCCCCATTTTTAGCCGCGGCATAGTGGCTCATAGAATGTTTTTTTCAAGTACAAACTTTTAACTCATAGCTTCGTCATCTCTTCACCGATCTGAGATACAATTAGTTTTGGAGTCGGGAAGTCAAACCCTTTCAATTGGTGTATTTGATCACGCCCAAGGTCTCATAGAATGATTTACTCTAATCCTGCCAAAAATAATTTCAATTTGAAGGTAGGCTGGTACAAGTCCTGATGAGTAATAAAATCAAATCGGGTATACGCGTTCCCTGTTTGGTATTGGTGGAGCACAAAAAATATAACTAATAGATTAATTCACTTCTATATAGATGTCCAATATTATCGCACACCACCTCCACGTTTTACACGTAACCCTATATGGATGTACAACATTACTGTATATCATCTCTACTTTTTACTTAACACATGGCTTTTTACTTGTGCTAGGGCTGCAATGTAACACCTTCAAGTTGCAATAGTTCTGATCTGGTTAAAAGGATTTTAGCAACGGATGACTGTTATTCTGTAGAAATACTTTATGGACTTTTCTAATTCGAAAGTAATGACATATTTTGGGCAAGAATGGTCGTGTAACTTCAAGGATGAACCGTTTTCGTAACAAAAGCAAATCCAGTCCGATAAACTTGGTAAACTTACAGGTTACTCATCTTAGCTCTCTTCTAACGAACTTGAGGTTTTCGATGATATCTATGTTAATTCTACGCCAGATAAGCACGTGAGGTTATATTTGTGTCTCGATCAGACACATAAAACTTTTTCAGTGATGAGAACAATCGAAGAGAAAGATTAGTTTTATGTTTATATAACGATTTTCGCAGAATCAATTTCCGTTTTGTGAAATTTGGTAATTCAACTCGTTTAGAAGAATTTCTTCTTGAGCAAACGTTAAAATTAAAATCTTTAGAGATGAAAATTCGCTTTTGTTTTCCCAGATTGCAGTACAAAAAAACAACAACAAAAAGTTTCCCTACAGATTCTCCTTAATCACGTGCTGCTGATACTTGTACGTTGTCAAACGTGTGTGTGTTTATGGAGATTAATTGATGAATAAACATAAAGAGGTTGGAAACAGATAACATATTACAAAGTAATATCAATCAAAAATATGCTTCAAATTAGCAGTAATCGTATTGTAACTAAATATTTAAACGTGTAAGAGTACAAAGAACTGGATTAATGTACAACTACTTAGTCAGATAATTGTGCTAAAGTTTAAATATTTAAAGTTAAAAAAAAATGCTCCAGGTGTATTCGTATAATCAGATGATCGTTTTTCTGTATATTTATTTTCTGTATATCATGCGTTCTTTAGTTCCGTTCCAGTGACCATCGTCAGTCAAGTGTGTATATAACGAATTACTAATCATTTTGTTTGTTAAGAACCCAACGTCAAAAGAAGCAAGGGACATAATTGGACACATTTCCTTTTTTCGTTATCTCTAAAGTTTATTTATTCAGGAATTTTTCTCAGCGCGTGGCTATGAATTTATAGCTACTGTTCCTTCCATGTTGGCTGTATAAGTCGAGGAAGCGAACTTCTATGGGATGGATCGTTGTCACTTTCGTGCATGAACTAGTAACACGGTAGATCCCACTAAATATTCCACAAGTTCGCATCTTGACTCTTGTCATACCTTCTTACCTGGATACGTGCAAGCCTTGGTATTGTGGTTCATCCAGTTTGGTCAAATAACGCCAAGGTAAGTGAGAACATGCTGATGCATAGTGCTACTGTCTCCAATACTGAGAAGAAGTCTTTAAATGCAAATACAGACGAGATGGTTGTCGACTCACCTGGTGTTTATTGTGTGAAACAAAAAATAATAACATCATCACCAGGACTGATCATTAAGCAGTGTATTTCATGAAAAGAGGGGGTGATATGATCGAAATTAAAATTGATAGTATTAGTACTAACGTTTTTCTTCCATAATTTATTTCCTTGATGAAGAAGAAAGTGGGTGGGATATTTTAAGGTACATTGGTTACTTAAGACTAGCTTACTGGATTTGTTTTGAAATAATAAGTAGGTTAATCCAAGAAAATAATCATTAATAATATGCTTTGTTAAAATAAATATATAAAGAGTTAAAAAGTCCTTACCCTAATTTTGATGTGATGTGACGTAAATAATTTGATGAAACTACACTTCATCGAATTGATCCAGTTCCCACAGTAAAAAGTTATTGTCAAGCAGTTTGGTAATATAAACTTCGTCTCAAACGTTACCGTATCTTTCCCATCCCAGCCTGCCTGAAGAGCCCTGGCACTGGGAGAAGGCCTTTGTCGACACTGGATATAATAGATATTGTGTGGTTGACATTATTATCATACATTCTTCTTTACTTTCACTCGGTAAGAATAGTAACTGCAATAGCAGAAGGAAGTGCGCAAGAGGTTATGGGTAATTTAAATTTCTGACATCGACTAAATCAGAAG